CGACGAGCAGCACCATGGTGGCATCTTTGGGGTGTTCCAGTGAGATCTCAGTGCAGCAGGCGACTCCACGACAAGACGCACGACCGGCACGTGTAGACAGCACCTCTGGTGGTTGATTCGTGACGATTCCTTTATTATGGTGACGTTTGGCAGTGATCCACACCTAAGTGAAAACCTCCTTTGAGTTACCCACCCTTCTTGCATTGTTTTGACATGGACCCACTCATATTCGGACTCAAATCAGCTTTATCCATCGGTTTTTGGCATCGGGCCAGCAAGTCTAAGGCCTTTCGATCTTGGTTTTGAGAGCCCGAACCTCCTCAACGTTGACCCACCCCTAACCCAAGAGGTTTTAGTATGAGTTAGTAGGTAACGAATCAGCCCAAGCTTGGTTTCAATTAATTTTAGTGTTTCCAATGGAATTCTAACGCAAATATAATCTCATTTGTTTTAGGAACCTTTCGGCAAGGCTTGATAGTGCGTTAGGGGTCCTTGTGTATGTAGTCTTTACTTGAGAGGATTGTTTGCTGTATCTGCTATGAAATGACTCGTTGATTGTGCGTCTATGAGTGTCTTTGGAATGATTGTTTGAGATTCATGATACCTTATAGATGTTGTTTATGTTACAATTGTTGAGTAACATTTGGAAATACATGTAGATGTGGGATATACTGTATTATGAGCTATATATAGGTTGGATGCAATATTGATTGGCGTTATGTCCTGGTTGGCCTGAATGTGAAAGTTGTGTTAACTGTTTTCGTTCTATGATTTGTTGTGTTTGGAGCATGCTGACTTTGTTGTGTGACTTGTATTTGAAAATGAACTATTGCGAACTTGTTTGATAGGATATATGTTGGCTTTCTCTTTTTGAATCGAAATCATGTTGAATGTTGAGGGAAATGTATTCTTGTGATGTTGGATGGCCATGTCTGAATGATAGTTGCATATGTTTGTGTATAACGCATGTTGCATTGTTGTGAGATAATTTCTGCATGGGTCATGGCTTATAAGCATGTAGGAATCTGGTGAGAGTTCCTGGATGTAATGAAGTGAATGGAGGACTAACAGGGCAGAGGGCTGGCACGTCACTAGTTGAGTGTCGAGGCTCTCGATAAAATGGTCGGGTATCGATACACCAGTTTTGGTAGAGATGAGTGTCTAGGCTCCGGGTACAAAAGGTCGGGGGTTGGCACGATGAGTCTAATTATTGAATGAGTATTGGAACTTGATGTGGTGGTGGTCAAGGACCAATACGTTGAGTAGTCGTCGAGGCCTTGGGATAAATGTCAAGGGTCGATGTACAGTTCGAAGGCTTGGGATAAATGTCAGGTCGAACACCAAGCTTCTATAGAGGAGTGTCGTGGCCTTGGGATAAATGGCAAGGGCCGATACGATTTGAGGAGTTAGACTTGGAGGACTAACATAGTGTGATGGGTCAGAAGTAGCGTGGAGGCCAAGGACCAATACGTTGAGTAGTAGTTGAGGCCTTGGGGATAAATGTCAAGGTCTAACACCGAGCACCGTAGAGAAGTGTTGATGGCTTGGCAATGTGAGGTCAGGGGTCGGTACGACTCGAAGGAGTAAGTCTTGGAGGAATCAGGAAGGAGAATTAGTGAGTTGAGATGTGAGGATGAGTTTGACATGTATGGTGCATGTTTAGTCAAACTTATGCATAAACTGCTTCTTTTAATATGTTTCTTTTCATTTAAGGCTCGAAGTTAATGATAAGCATGATGTGTTGATTCTTTGATAAGAATGATGTGTTGATTCTTTGATGAGTATGTTGTTTGTGCGTGACCCTTCAGATAAGGGCTGATTCCTAGGTACCATGGTTGTACTCATCCCTTCTTTTTCCCTCTAGTTTTTGCAGATAACGGGTTAACTCTTGGAATGGTGATGGCAAGGAGGAGACTCGAGAAGAAGACCATGACTAGCTTCCGTTTAGTTTTATTGAATTTAGGATAGGTTGTCAGGAGTTTATCCTATTCCAGTTAATGTACTTTGTTTAGATAATAATTTGTGCGAAGTTCAGACCGTTGGTAGATGTTTTAGATCATTCATTTACTAGTTTGGTTTTTGTTAAAATTAGGTCGTCGTTTAATTTGTGAATTTTATTTAAGCTGGGTTTGTCCCTTAATTTGTTGTTTATAAAAGATTGTAACTTTGATGATTTTCATGTGTTGGTTAGTTTGTTTAAACTTTTATAAGTGTTGTTAATCAGAGTGGCGCAGCAGAAGCGTGGTGAGAATTTGTTATAGTTGTATTGCTACTAGTCTAATTCTCTAGTATGAGTGGGACTTTCTAGGTGGTTTTAGTAACGTGCCACACTTTGAGTTGTTTGACATTTGGGGGCGTTACATATTTAAACACTTTAACAATTAATTTCACAACATATAGTGATATACCAATTTATAAAAATTAATTTCAAAAGCATTATCATGATACGAAATTACAAGAAAGGAAATATCAATAACAAGCGAATCAAACTAAAGAAGTTTAGGCACGATACCAATGCCAATACAAGAGACAATATGAGATACATAAAAAATAACCACAAATATTTGTCCTTACAAAGCGAAATTAATAAGAGATGAATAAATAAAGTATATCAATAGTAATAATTACAAACAATATATATTGCATTTAAAGACAAAAGAAAATCCAATACACAACCAATAGGGATTAAAAAAAAAAGTTCAAGCACTCCCGTACCAAAAGGAATTAATTAACAATATAAATACTCATAACAGCTTTAAAAGGAATCATCAGAACATGCAAAACTACAATCAAAGTATAAACTCTCAAGCTTTCGTATATAAAAGCTCAAAATCATTTCTTTTAAGAAGATTATAACCAAATAAATAATTTTCAAATTAACAATACTAAATACCAAATGTAGGAGTCGAGGTCAAAGAATTTGATGTCAAATAAAGTAAGTTCACAACAAATTTAATGAAATTCGTTTTTAGCAAACAATTGATAAAGGTCGAGAAAGAAATTTCAAATTAATTTTCTTAAGAAAATTTCTTTTAAAATTTAAGGAATGATTCAAATTAATTTCAAATAAAGGAAAGTAATCCACAAAGATTTTAAAAAACTAATCCACCATCGATGTCATAACAATTGAATCACAAAAAATAATCACACTTTCACTCATTACAAAAGTCAAAAGAAAAATTAACATTTTAATTATCCCACCATCCATAGTAATAATGATGATAAACAATTCAATAAAATTCAAATTTAATATGCATGTCTAAAAAATATAATCAACTATTCATAAAAGCATTAATGAAGAATCATAATTAGTAAATTTTCAATTCACACAATATCATAATATCATAGAAACTTTCCATTCAAACAATCCAAAAAATTCAAATGTAATATCATAAACTATCTCGAAATTAACTCACTATTTAATAAAAAAAATAAAGCTACCAAAGAATGATTTTTTCTTTCTAAGCCCAGGTGAATCAAGAGTTTCTTTTTTATAGAATTTTCATTTTGTGGTTAAGCATTCTTAAAATTCAAGTGCACCTACAAAACAATTTAACAAATAGTCTTCGGTACCCATATTTGTCTGGGTCCATGTAGGTTAGTCTCAACCTTTGGAATCCATTTCTTTTTAGTTCCAACATTCATAACATTCATATAATTCAATTTAGATAAGTAACATGAATGTGTTTTATGACCGAATTTTCCGCAAGAAAAACAAGAAATATTATGCATGAATATTTTTTTCACAAAATATCTATGCATATTATTTTTTACATAAATGTTTCAAGGGATCAACTGAGTCTAAAAGGAGAATTCACTGGATGAGCTGGGAGAGAATATGCAGATCGAAAGAGGTTGGCAGGCTTAATTTTCGAGATTTAAAGTTGTTCAATAAGGCCCTTCTGGCCAAACAACTCTAGCGTTTCATTAAGTTTCCGTCTCTTCTTGTTTCAAGGGTCATTAAATGTATTTATGCTCCAGACTCATCTCTCTTATAAGCCGATGATGTTGCTCATTCTTCATATTTCTAGAAAGGGATATTATGGTGTAGGGGTTTACTTTGTCATGGGCTAAGGAAGGTGGTTGGGGATGGCACTAATATCGATTTTTATATGGACACTTGGATCCCCAGAGAAAGTACGTTCTGACCTATAACTCCCAATCCAAATCCGAATAGTAAGGTTTTGGTGGCAGAGTTTATTTCTCCATCTAAAAGCTGGGATTTGGAGAAGCTTCGAGGAGTGGTCTGTAATGAGGATATTGAGGTAATATCCAGGATTCCGACCAGTAGCACTGGTGGAGTTGATCGATGGACGTGGCACTATAGCAAACATGGATACTACTCAGTCAAGAGTGGATACAAATTGGCTATGGATCTTTCATTTTTAGCAAAATCTATTCAGAGAGGAGAGATTAAAGAGGCCCAGCAGAAAATACCTCGTCCGGCAATTTGGAGCCCTCCATTGGGAGGAACAGTAAAGCTTAACGTGGATGCTGCCTTTGATTCCCGAAATCAAAGGGGAGGGGTTGGGGTTTTGGTTCGTGATGATAAGAACTTCATCTTAGCAGCGTTAATTTCATCCCATGGCATGACTTCCCCCTTGATGGCTGAAATTTGTGCTATTCGTGAAGCAGTTCGTCTAGCTGTTGTGTCCACACAACTGTGTTGACAACATGTGCAAGTATACAGGATTCATCGGTTGTAGTACGTAATGAGGTCGTATCCACATGGATTTTTGGTTGTATTTTAAGGATAAAAGTAGATACCAACAAATAAAAATATACAAAGATTGGGTATGGATATTGTCTAAAAAAAATAAAGTAAAGTAATAACAAGACGACAGAAACTTGCAAGGGACGATAGTATTGAAGCTGTCAACACAAGAAAACAGTAGCATAGAAAGCGATAATGGGGGAGTAACAGATATGGAAAAGGCGAGGGAGATTCAGCATACTGTCACAAGTTATCAACCTACCCTCTAGCGTAGCTAACATTTATTAGTGCCCAGCTCGACTCGGTTCCCTTTCGAGACACCCCAAATATGAGTAAGTACAACTTCCATTGCTAAATACCCAAGCAATAAACCCAAGCTGTAGGCATGATTAGGGGACCTCCTTCCTAAGTATCCCTATAGCTATAGAAAAACGCTAATCACAAGCAAAACAAATCAGCACCCACAAGCCCTTCCGGGTCAATACAGAAGCTAGCATACACGAAACAACAGCCAACAGTAACGCGAAGATTAAGAAATGAAATCAGATTTGCTTAAAAATAAATGTAGTCACTAGAGGTTCGGTCTCAAATCAAGTACAACATGTAAATCTCCCCCAAAATGGGGTTTAGCTCATAATGGGTAAAGAAAACAAAATGGAAGAAGAAGAAATACAACCCATAGCAGAAAAATAGCTAAGTGACAGAGAAGAAGAAGCAGTCAGCTCATTCCAGCAGACGAGCTTCCCCTTTCTGGCGTCAGATTTCCTCCCGAAAATGGTTATATTTCATTCCCTTGTCTATTCAGCTCTCAATATTTGTCTCTCTTAGGATCTGCGTGTTTGTCGGCTAGGGCAAAATACCCTTTAAATATTTGGTCCTGTTTTAGGGCACCCGGCTAAAGATTGTACAGACATAAGTGAATCCCGTGTTTTTGAATTAACTGTACGAACACTCATGCTCTGGCATCGCTATGCTCCAGCATTTATATGCTTTGTCTTGAAAAAGCTTTGACTTCTCTACTATGGTTCAGCACTTCATTCTCTTCTTAGCTCTTCTTTAAAAACTTGTGTAAATGAACCACAAATACGAGAGTTTATGCTATTTTTGGCGAAAGTTCTCAAGGCTAAGGATATTTAGCTAAGAATTTGCAATTGAACAATACTCATGCTAATTATGACCTAAAACCGACATACTTTGCCATTTTAATGTACATTTTCACCCAAATAATCACCAGAATAACTCTCTTTTGGAGAGTTATCACACCCCCAAACTTAAAATCTTGCTTGTCTCCAAGCAAGAGCATGAATTTCATTTTAGAAAATAAAAGAAGGCATTGGAAATTTGTACTTCAAACAATCTAATCTTCTACTTCAACCTTCTACTTCTAGCACGCTATGCTAAAGCTTAATAACTCTGCTAAAATACATCAGCTGGAGCAAGGGAATGGGAGCAGCTTAGATTTGCACAAACTTTGGAAGATGTTATTTCTACTCAACCATAACTTCCTTCTACTTCCCAACCTCAAGCTTAGCTTCTCCTAAAGAGTCCTTTCTCATACTCCCTTTCACTAGCCTAAACCTTTAACCTTTGCGCTGCCAACTTGGGTTTCTTCAACCATGGGCTACTAGCCCTTCCTAATCCTGCAGCCTCTTTATGCTCTGGATATGGGTTACTAGCCCTTCCTTTATTGCGAACTCCTTTTTTAATAATAGATGGGCTGAATTACAGGATTAAAAAGATTCATGGTTCTATACAAGTGTTACTAAAGATTTAAGAACTGAAGGTTCACTACCCCAAACTTAAAAGGTTGCATTGTACTCAATGCGACTAAGGACATCTACGTTACAATGCTCTAGCACGCCCCCAAACATACAGCGAAAGTGTAGTGTGAAGTATAATGAAATTCGCTCTTTAGAGATGTTTTTAAAATATGAAGGGCTAATGCTAACAACTAAGGGGAACTAAGAGAAATCCAGGCTAACTATACAAAGATAAGGGGCGGCTTTGGATAGGTGGCCTTTGAAATTCTTCTCTAGGGTAAGTGCTACTTGGGGTCAGTACTGCTAGAAGGATGCTAGGGCATAGTTGAGCAAGCATGGACCAAATGCTGGAGCAAAAGAAAGATAGCTAGCATTAAAAAGCTCCAGCATCAACAGATATACTGCCCATTAGCGGGCTCTAGCATAACGACTATTTATAAAAAGT